CAACCTATCGATAGTTCGATGTATTGTTGTAATCACAACCTATCGATAGTTCGAGGTATCGTTGTAATCACAATCTATCGATAGTTCGATGTGTTGTTGTAATCACAACCTATCGATAGTTCGAGGTATCGTTGTAATCACAACCTATCGATAGTTCGAGGTATCGTTGTAATCACAACCTATCGATAGTTCGATATATCGTTGTAATCACAAATTTATCGATAGTTCGAGGTATCGTTGTGATCACAACCTATCGATAGTTCGATATATCGTTGTAATCACAATTTATCGATAGTTCGAGGTATCGTTGTGATCACAATCTATCGACAGTTCGATGTATCGTTGTAATCACAATTTATCGACAGTTCGATGTATCGTTGTGATCACAATCTATCGATAATTCGATATATCGTTGTAATCACAATCTATCGACAGTTCGATGTATTGTTGTAATCACAATCTATCGACAGTTCGATATATCGTTGTAATCACAATCTATCGATAGTTCGAGGTATCGTTGTAATCACAATCGATCGATAGTTCGATATATCGTTGTAATCACAATCTATCGACAGTTCGATGTATCGTTACACTCCTAATTGCGGTTTGCTTTATTTTTAAACACGGTGTAAGCGTCTATTGTACAAAAAAACATTTTTACAGTGTGAAACCAGTAGGTACAACAACTCATATTGTATTGGTAATAGTACACACGTAAAATAAAAAATGACACATATTTCTCAATAAATAATTCGTATTTTACGCGGATATACTAGCTATCTGGAGCAATGGTTACAGTCTACTTAGGGGCGCCAGCTAAATATAAATAACTATAGGGTATAGGGTTAAGCCACCATTAGAAGGGGAGCCAAAAGGCTAAGTATCCAGTTGCTCCGCAGTTGTAACGAAAATGATTTCCTAACTTTGAAAAGTTGATTCCTAACCTTTTATGATTTTTTTCTTGGCTGTCATCTTAATTTCAGTTTTCAAGTTTTCCTCACAAAAAAAAAACCTTAGCATATGTGTAATGCGCTTAAAGGGGACGACATCCTTGCAATTTGAGTAATCATGAACTACAAAGGGCAAGAGCTACAGTCTACGATTTATTAATAATATGTCATAATGATGATAGTCCTTTCACATGCGGATTACAGAAAACATTATACTTTTCTTTTCACAATACATTTTTTATATAGACATCATTCCAATGATCCCAATATTATATATAGATTAAGAAGTGGTATATCAAAACAATTATATTGTACAAGAGAGTACGGGGCATTTTTAGAAATGTTTTAAGTCAAGGCCTTGATGTTAAGTTAAATTAGAACTTTTTCAGAGTTCAATATTATTCGATGGTTTGAGTTATTAGAAAACTCGGACATACATTCAT